TTTTAAATGTAATAAAGATATGGAAAATAAATCTTTTTAATTGATTAAATTTAAAGCCATGTTTTTGACGCTTTGAGAAAAATGAGAAAACAAAGAAGGAAAAAAAAGAAGTGACTTTTAATGCTTTAAAAAAAAATAAAAGCAAAAAATGTTGATTGGTAAATTAATTACTGTTAAGGCTTTAAAACCATTTTAAAACCTTAAAAGTCATCACCAATCGCCCTCATAATTGAAAACAAAAGTTTTAACCAAATATATAATCAAGCTCTTACAATGATATCTTAATTGAGCTTTCAACCCATGCAAGAACATTAAAAATTAAACAAAGAAAATATTGAGAATATCAGATATGGTGGAGGCGGATGTAAAAATGAGTATTTATAGGATAAAATATGATGTAAGTTACAATTCTAAAATAATTAAATCAGAGGAGTTATAATTATATTTTATAGTGTGTTAATTGAAGTTAAATGGAGGAAACAAATAGTCAATTGAAAGGTTATATAATTTAAGTTACAATTTAATAGTAAAGTGTAGATTTCAAGTATGAATTAAAGTATATGACTAAATGTGTTAGATATTTGGTTTAATTAAAAATAAATATTATAATTTAAAAATAAATGCTAAATGGACCAATAAGGAGAGAGTGAAACCTTAAAAATTCCCAAGAAATAATTTTATTTTTAATCTCTTTTTATATTCCTCTTAATTTAAGTTATATTTCTAGGTTTAATTATATTTTTCATCCCTGTAGTATATATAATAGATAGAAAATGGAATATCAAATTGTTTTTTAAATAGGAAATTAAGTATAAAATTCAAAGTTAAAACAAATTATAATGTTCTTTGTATTATTACATGTTGAATCACAAACTAAATATAAGGATCATTATTCTTAAAAGAATGTCTTACAAATTGGTTTGATAATTATATAACAAAAAGTTTATTTTGTTAAAAATAGGGGGAATTTCAAAAATACCCCTTTTCATATACCTCTTTTTAAAAATACCCCATTTTCAAACTTTATAAGAAAACCCACTAAAAATGTTGAAATTTCCAAATATGTGTGTAAGCTTATAAATATATACACAAATTACTTTTATATGTGTATAAAACTTTATATACCTTTCATAAATAGCGTAAAATAAATTATAAAACCCTTATAAAAACCGTATAAACCCTTTTAAAAACCTTTTAAAAACCTTATAAACCTTATAAAAACGATTTAAAAGTATTTAACAGTTTAAAATATATGTATCGAATCTCCCAGTAGTAGTTATTATATAGAAGTATCTTATAAACTATATAAAACTTTATAATTTTTTATATTTAAAAAGTGGTATTTTTGAAAATGGATAGAAAAGGGGGTATTTTTAGAAAGGGTTACACCAAAAGGGGTATTTCTCAAAAATTCTCTTAAAAAATTACATACTTTTGAAAATAAATTAAATATACATGAATATGTGAGAAAGAAACAAACATCCAAAGTAAAAGAATGAAGATGGTTTCTTTAGCTTGATTTTCTTATAACCATAAAATATTATTATACATATGTATTACATTTAAAAATATAAAAAACAATAAAGACATAAAGAAATGCATAAAAACAAAAAATAAATAAAATTGAAAACAAAATTTTAAACTAAATAATTAATCAAACTCTTACAATGATATTTTAAATGAGTTTTCACCCCATGCAAGAACTTTTAAAAAAACAAAGAGAATAATGAAGATATGAGATATGGTAGAGAAGGATGTGAGAATGGCTATTTATATGATAAGAAATGATGTAAGTTATATTTTTAAAATAATTAAATTAGAGGAGTTATAATTATAATTTATAGTGTGTTTAACTGGAATTC